AAATACAGGCAGGAAGGGCCTGGAAGGCATTGTCTGGTATCATCTGTCGTCATTGATTGACATCGGGTGAGGCATTGCCGAGTCACTTAGCTACCGGACCGTGTTGCCGATCCTGGATCCTGATCCTGAACCTGGTGTCAGGACCAGCTGAACGCACTCTTGGGCCTCTCTGAGGCAGGAGCTGAACCTTTAGGGAGGGGGCCATTCAGAATGCAGTCTGCTTTGCTCTCAGGACCTGCCAACATACAAAGGGTACTGAAATTTAGTCTTGATGGACCTACTATGTCTATGGGAGCGGAGAGTCAACAGAAATGAACTCTGATGCCACTTGTGACAACTGGAAGTGGGCCAAACATCCGTTCAAAATTTCAATTGAATGAGTTAATTAGTCTGCTGGAAGTGAATTGTACCTTGAAAGACCCGGTGAGATGATTGGTTACTGTTACCGGAATCTTCGACTGACAGTCAAATGTATATTCAATGCATATTTTGCCCGGCATTGGCTTTAGCGAGGCAATTTGTACACTGTTGCAAGACATCACTGGCCACTATGGGTGGAGGCTGTTCACGGGGTGGTTAATTCTGAGAGATAGGAACTTTGTACCATGGTTCCGGCTTGGTTACACCGTGGAAGGCTTGTGTGAGCTGTTGAGCCTGGCACGGATGGCCTCGGAGTTGAATTTTTTGGTTGCATATATTGCAAGATGGTATTGGACGCTCGTAGTAGAGTCTGATTGTCAGTTTGGTTTATTTTCCTGTCTATGCATGCTGAAGCTGATGGGAAGACGATTTCGCGCCTTGGTCGAGGTGGAAAATAGGGTTGTCGTGGTAAGCATGCATTACAGGGGATCTATTAGCGTCGTTCGGTGCCTTAATCTCAAAATCCACTTTTTGATGCGTCAATACAACTTACGCAGGGTGGCTGTTTATCGGCGCGCGCGCCGACACAGATCCGTGGTTACAGTTCCGAAGTATTGCAGTGGCAGCCAGATGACCTGTTACACTAACCTAGACTCACAAAGGATGTATTATGGCGGTTTAGTACCGGGAAATCCGAAAAGAAACCACTTGAGGATAATCCAACCCGCAATACAATTGCACTGGACAGCCTGAATTATTTCGACATAATTCCGATGGGTTCACATGCCTGGAGTCATCATATAGTAGCACAATGTCGAACAAAATTGGTCTACAGAGAGGCAGAGCACTCGCGTGTTTGACTGTATAAGGTTTTCTCAGCATTTGAAAACAGAAGACATCGCAAGTATGTCCAATTAAAATAGACTGATTACAAGAGGGAACAATGTAGAGTGGTCTCCCAGAGATTGGGCAGTGCGACATCGAGGGACGCAGCATCGGCGCAGACCATGGCGCAGGCTGGTGCATTGGTGGCGCAGACAAAGTTGAATTTGACGTTAAACTGACGCATACATGTCACATTGACGCTGTGTCACTGCGCAATAGCGGCGCTAACTGATGAGTCTTTAACAGACGAAATGCTGGTCCCCAGTCGCGGCTGACACCCCACCTGTTATTGCACAGGCACTAACTTACTCACAGAACCTCGAAGTCCCCCTGGCTGACTTCTAGAGCCCCCCGCCCCCCAACTCCATTGCTCTGTGCTCCCCGCGAGCAAGGGTTTGAATACATTAGAATGCCAATTATCGCTCTGTGCTTCAAGTGAGGAAGTTTCCAATCAACACTCATTGACTAAACGGCGTGGCAACTCCCGGCATCAGGGCAACATTCCATCAGGGCAACATTCAAAACCTTTCCTTTGAATCGTCGGGTCCAATGATTATAGAGCAGTTCCGCCGGGTTCAGCAAGAGGAAGAAAATACTTAGCAATACTGAAGCCCTCGCTTTGTATGAGGGTGGATTCGAAGGCAAGGCGACGTTTCTGTTTTCATCCTCGGTCTTCACCAGATTGGGCCCGAAAAACTTCGACGTTACGTAGGCGACTTTCTTCTACATACCTTCCTGAAATCAAAGACACAATCTTGGAGTCTCTTAGGCTCGTTTCAGCCTCTCTAGCATCCCGGGCGTGAAATCTGAAGACAGTCGTTCAGATCACGTATACTAGAGAGGCTTGGATTTACGAGTACAGCTTAGTACGAAGTGCCTCGGAGTTTGAAAGATTTGATGACATGTCCCTCGGGCCTCTCAAGTCATCTATTCGCGTCGTTCTTTTTGCGGGGGCATATTTTGGATCAATAAGAGACCCACTGATTTTTCCGGTAGATTTTACCCCAAGAAATGGAGGACCTTTGAGAATTTCTTTTCTGCGACTTCAGGCAATAATTGATGAGGCTGATGGCTCGGCGTTTCCATGGTGTTTCAATTTCAAACTCCGAGGCACTTCGTACTAAGCTGTACTCGTAAACTCCAGCCTCTCTAGTATACGTGATCTGAACAACTGTCTTCAGATTACAGGCGTTCGAGCGCTACAACGCCCGCAAAGTGGCCATTTTGAGCACTTTTGATCAAATTTCGGCAAAATCCGGTCAAAATGGCCGTTTTGCGGGCGCCGTAGCGCGTTATCGCCTGTATATTTTTGCATAATTCAACTTATGAAATGGAAGGGGAGATCTTACACTCCAATTCAGGCTATACAGAATGCTCTGAAAAAAATCGCTGCTCAAGTTGAAAAACGCGATTTTCGTATTTCCCTGATTTTGACGGCGCATCAACAGATTCTGATCTCATCAAAGTGCTGAAATTGTCGGCTTCCGCCGTCTCAATAACCTTACACTTGATTTCGTCCCAAGGCTACCAGCGGATAAAGCTCCTCAGGCGGAGGAATAATGCGCTTGCATCGACGCCATAGCGGGTGAGAAGATTTGCGAACCATGTCATCCCAACTACGACGCGGGGCCTCTGACCCCAGGCCACGATTTTGGCTTTGTCACTTTGATCCGGTATAAAGATTGCGTCCCGAAGCGCCCGGGCGAATTCGACCCGTAATCAACCACGGAGAGATAAAACATGTTGAAAACATGGAACAGATCCTTGAGAACGCGGCTGCGGATATGCGCGTTCCACGTCTGCCAACAAATCTCCTCGCTGAGGATAATTTCTCCTCGACGTTGACTCTCCGGATCACGGGCGAAACTCTGGAGGTCGACTGACTGAGATATGAGCAAATCGGTCGCGGGATTCAAAAAAGCGTCCAAAACAGGATGTTTTTGTTCGCACCATTGGTTCCGACATTGGCTGTAATTAACCGGGCAAGCTAAAGGCAAGGTTAAGGGTCCAATTTTTTTTCCCCCGCTAGTGCGAAAACAGTGACACGTAAGTTATTTCCACAAAACCAAGCGATGACATTAGTTTTGTTGATGGCCGTTGTTGTGCCGTGATCCTCGGGAGGGAGCAAAGCTGGTTGGAATTCCGTTGCCAGTCCAGCAAACCATGCGCGACCAAAATCCGGAAAAATCAATCGATCACAGTTTTTGTAAAATTATTTCATTCATAGCTCAATAACTTAGTTACAGCCGTTTTGTAAATAATATACGGGTTTCGTAAAAAGTTGATGCTTGATTCGTGCTTACCTCTGTTTGCTGTTGCGTCCCCGGCTCCACACCTCCGAGCCACTGCCGAATGGTGTTGGTCTTTTGTGAAAACCCTGCTGGACTTCGCAGGGCCACAACTATGCACACTCTGACAACATTGAAGACGACTAGTCGGCCATCCATGCTGAATGGCCCGAGTTGCAGCATAATGCGAGCAGGAACAGTGTACGGCAGTGTGGAGCCGCTCTAGCCGATGACATTTTCACAAACAGAGATAAGCACAAATCGAGCATCAACTTTTTACGAAACCCGTATATTATTTACAAAACGGCTGTATACTGGATTTTTTCCTCACACTTCACGATCGGCATATCCTGGCCCATCACAATATACAGCAGGAATTTTACTTGGTATCATCGGGAATGGCTGTGAGTCTCATTAGGATGCCTCATAATGATCTGTCCTAAAAAATGTCACCGGTGAGTTTCTGATGGTCCCATTTCACGCACCTCCTAAGGTAGGTGACAGTCACTCACATCAAGCAATCACATGACCAAAGTGTCACATCGGCAAGGCGCCAGCCACAGAAGATGTTGTGACAAAGTAAACCCAGGAAATAGTGCAATTGAGTCCTTTAGAGAGATCCCTGGTTTCAACATCTGAAAATACCCATTATTCATAGAGTAGTATAACATTTTTGTGACCCATTTTTTTTCAAGTGCAGAAATGATTGTGTCATCGACAAGGGGGGAGCGGGATTAAAGTGCTCGCCGCTGCGGCCCTGCCTAGCTCATGGAAACGCTCTCGGCAGTCATTTAGGTGTTATTTACCTCCAGGGGAATGGTGAATCTCCTCGCTGCTGCCTCTGGGTCAAGAGACACATGCATGGGGACTGACTCCGCGAACTTGGTTACCCTATTTCTCGCATTCTCAGAACTTGCCTACATCTTTTGTAAAACCAGAGACCTAGAATGATAAAGGACCACCATAGCAGACCTCCCAATTTTCACAGCGCCCAAACACTTGACTTGTGAGGATACAAGAATATTTCTTCCCTTCTGTTGGCGTTGTTTGGCATCAGAACCGATGACGTCGTTCCGCAAAAACCTTGCTTATCTAATAGCCTTTTATGGCAATTCCACGCGTTACCCGATTTCAAACTCAGATCGACCGGTCTGTCTATCGACAGAATTCATAGACAGACCGGCTCCGGTCTAGGCTTGCATAATCTGTGCGCGTGGTTTCGAACCCGGCGGTGACCGTTTCTTTTTCTTCCCTCTCTTAAGAATGAAGCAGGCATGATCCCACTGCAATCACCAACTGGGCTACCGACACTGAAACCACACCATTTGATTTGACCATTTCCAAAGAGGTTGTTTCCATAAGAAAAAAAAATCACCGGGGTCGTAGCCGGTGATAGCCGAGGTTAGCCGGTGGCTGTGCCATTCCCTCTCAGCGCTGCCATGGCACCAAGCTGACGAGTTTCATGTCGACAGAATAGCTCAGTTGGATAACACTCTCACCGCGTCTCACGTAATGAGAGTGTCCCTGGTTCGATTCCAGGGTCTGTCATTTCATCCAAATCTCAATTTGAACCCCGTGCGCTTCTTCCCTTGAAATGGTTTCAAATTTCAAGGTTTGAACAAGCGCCCGAGGTTTAACCTGTGATTTGGATGCACTTCCCTTTTTGTCGCAGGGGTCTCACATCCTCCCAATGGTGGAAAATATAATATTCTTTTATATTTCACAAGGAGTTTGCCGTGCTATGCCACGGACATTGGTGATTAAATAAATTTTCTCAAATTACCCAGGATGCTGCTTGTCGCCAACCTTTGGTCGGCTCCTCGCAGCCTCATAAGCAATTGAACAGTCCAAGTTTATGTAACTCTCTGGTTCTACCACCTTTGAAAGATATCAAAGACCAGACTTCATTGCGCTTGTAGTTCTCAGCCGTCATCGATCCTTGAACACTGCCGGATGTGGAATCTAGTGATTACAGCTAATGTCGGAACCTAGGGCGTGAACGAAAAATTTCCATTTTGGGAACTTTTTCATTGCGCCAACCGATTCCATCATAACTCTCTGAGTTTTGGTCAGATTACCTCGAAACATATACCATTCTTTCAGAATAATTCATCTGCAATTAGTGATGTAAAGGAAATCGCGAAAATGTGTTTTATCTTTCCATTTGGCACCTGAGGCTTTGTTTCTGTTGAACACCTCCTAGGAGGGTGGGCACTTGTTCAAGGGAGGAGATGGTGGTTGCAAGGGAGAAAGGAGGCAAGGGAGCCCCACCCTTCTGAACGGGACTTGAGCAGTTGATCGGCGAGGTCGAAAATGCTAATTTCTCATACACGTGTTAGCTTAAGAACCCCAGAAAATAAAATAGGAAATGGGACGCACATACGGAAGTCGCCGGTGCAGAGTGGGAAAAATGGAAGCATGCAAACAGGTGCATACTGATACGAGGGATCTGCTTAATGCAAGAGGTATATTAGCATCTACCAAATCCACGTACCAAATTTTGTGGCATGCGGTGACCTGGTTCCATCATAGCACAGGATTTTTAGTTCATATGAAGACTGAGACATCGACATAAACCAACTCTTGCGTCATTTTTGGCTCGATTTCTCAAATTTCTGTTTCCTAATATTCGCAATAGTGTGTTATTGAGCCTGGGACATCAAAACGCATGGGTTAACCCTTCCACTTACCGAAACAAGTCCGAAGGTGGGATCAAATTGATCCTTGTATTATGTTTTATGCGCTATAATTGTCAACGGTGGCTCTACAAGGTTGCAGGATGCATCGAAACTAATTTTCTACACTGTGAACTTGCTCATACCAAATTCGTCCACCCAGATGTGTTGCAGCTGTGGCAGTCTGTCAACCAATTAGTTGAGCAGTGCAACCAGTTAGTCTGAATTTGTTGGCACAGCCGAAGCCGTAACCTGGATTTCCGTGATCTACACGTGACATTCCCACGCTCCCAATCCGGTCGAACAGGTCTCTCTTAGGTTTTGAGGGTGGAATGTGCATATTAATACCTCATAAAGCATTCTAAACGTATTTCCTCCATCCCTAGAAGCAATAGAAAAAGATTTACCGCTAAGTAGACATCATTGAACAAATTTGACTGTTTTGGATGTATATGGCACAGTATGCACTCAAAACAAGTTGAATAAATCCACAAAATGTTCCATAAATAATGTAGTTGTTCTAAAAGATAAATATGCTTTAAAATTTGGCGACACAACCGACTTGAAGTCGAAAACGAACACAAAATCCCAATTGGGAGTGTGGGAATGTCACGTGTCGATCACGGAAATCCAGGTTACGGCTTCAACTGTAGGTTCGGAGCAAGCCTGTCTCCGGTCCGGCGCGCCGGACTATCTCGGAGAGAGGCTTGCCGCAAACTCGTGAAAAAAGGGGATGTATTGCAAGTCGAATATCTACAGCAATTCTGAGCAGAATCCTTCGGTGCAAAGGGCTGAAGTGCTTATTCGATTGAGGCCTTTCGATCTATCAACTCAGTTCCGACATTGGTGTCCCCAGATCGTTGTTAATCGGCGTTTTTTGGGAATGGTCGTTCCGCAGAAATCGGCATCAAATGAAATATGTTTTCATCGTATTCCACATGTTTTATGGGCTCGATGAGACCAGGGAATCTCTACGACAATATCATTCACCAAAAGTCAAGCGATTCAAGGAATTTCTGGCTTAGAACACACACTTTTCTCTAAACATCCATTTTGGGAAAGTGACCCGCGACGCGATGGAAAGGGTGAAAAGAATATCCAGCATGATGCTAGTGATTTAAATGATTTGTGAAGGGGTTGAGAGGTGTTTGTGGTTCCAGTGGACATGGGGCGCGGACGGAGAGGGCGGGAGAGACGCGACGCGATCCTGACAAATCATACCCCCAAGTGGTATCTTTTTGTTCTGCTCTAGAAAGTTGATTCCTGGACTGTTTGATACACTTCAGAGGTGGAGCCCTATCGCAATTGACGTCCCAAGAATTCTGTCTCCTCAAAATTCTTTTAGACTGTCAAACAACAATTAAATGCGGAACTCTTTGTTCAGAATGTATTTTCTCCATAGCTACATCAACGTCCGAATAATAAGGCTCTCGGGTAGGAAATGCCAAATCTGAGGAGGCCATCTCATGCGGGTTGCTAATTAGAACAAATGATTCTAAGTAACCCTGAGGTTTGACCCGTCTGCTGTCGCAGGAGAACGCGCCGAACACATCCCCTTTTTTTCTGAGTTTGAAACAAGCCCCTTCTCAGAAGGCGCTGCGAAGCACGTGCTGGTCATGTGAGCTGAGAAGGCGGCTTGATCCGAACCTACTTCAACTGTGCCAATAAAATCAGACTCCATATAAAACTAAAAAATTTCGACTGTCTTAATTTTAGTTTTTTGGAGTCTGACTACGGGAGACTAGCAACCAGTTAGAGCAAAAAATGTTGTGCCAAGACGACTTGCCCGACTGTCTGTGGTCGTTGGCAGTACATTTGATCCTTGCGAACCTACATGCGAAGTTCTGGCCTCTTCCGATCCGCCGCGCCTCCAAAGCAAGGCCTGCAATCAAAATTTGATATGTTACTACAACTCGGACACTGGACTCGGCCGAAAGAATGACGCCGTTCAAAGACTACCCTATTGCACATTCACCGTCGTCGGAATTTCCAGGGCATCAAGATGGGAGTATTTTTTGCCGGCGACTACGTCTTTACGGAGAGATTCAAAATCCGTTCAAGGAAGTCCTTGTCGGCCATGTGTGTAGAAAACCTGGGGCTGATCATTCACTGAAGACACTTTGAGTTGACTCACGATTGTTTCACCTCCTGGCAGTGTCTTGCTTTCGCCTTCCCCGATACCCTTTTCGCACCGAGAGCCCATTATAACCAAGACTTCGGTTTGACTCCGACTGCCAGCTCACTCTCAAGATAACTTGACAAGCCGTGAGATTTGCCGGCATGGCTGTTCGAGTTTCAGTCAGTTCAAAGATTGCCGATATATGTATGACAGTAACAGGTCGGTGCCGCCCGTGGTCAAAAGTAAGGGAGTTGGTGATCGTGCCACGTCTCTCTCATGTGTCACATCTCCGTCCTCCCAGGGCACCCTCCGCGAGTGCTCGGTTCTCTGCCGTCCGGACAACCTCGAGGGCAAAAACTCTGTAGCGCTCCGCCTTACCTTCTCTTCCGAGGTGGATGCTGAGCGCCTTATCAGAACAGGTGGCTATATGTTTGGGGTCCCTTGCAGAGTTTCACGCTACGTGCCACGACCAGGCAGCCGCTTGTCTACACCTCCGCGGTCCTGATCATCCTCTCACCCATGCTTTCCCTCTCTTTTTGTTTTCTCTCGGACTTCACCCAACATCTACCATATGTAGAGGCTTCGGCCATATACATACCCCTGCGGATTCCCCGCAACGCACTCGTCTTGTCACGAGTTGCACGCTGTCGAGTAGTTTCACCCCCCCCACCGATCAGATTTACTTCACTTACAATGGACGTGACACACAGTAGACAGTTTATTTCTACCACATGCCCTAGGCACAAAGGAAGTAAAACAAAGATTTGAAATAAAATAAAACAATAAAAATAAAAATAACCCAACTCGAGGAACAGATAATCCAGGAACAATTTCAAAAAACACCTATGCTTGTGGCGAGCCATGGGCTCCAAACTGGCTCGAAATAATCATTTTGATTATGCTGACGTCGAAATTTCTAAAGAAAATATCGGCAATTTTCCACAAACCCGGACCGGTTTCTGCACCCGACTTTCACTCTTGACTGGGCCGTGATCCAGCGGCACCCGATTCCATCTTGCGGGCCGGGACAAGTATTTATACTGGACAGAAAGTATCTCAAGTACACACATATATATATGGCGCGTACTAAACAGACAGCGAGAAAAAGCACCGGTGGGAAGGCGCCCCGCCATCAACTAACACAGAAGACTGCGATTGCCGCGACTGACGGCGGTAAAGGATCAAAAGGACCTCGAGGGGTGGGCAATACTGCTTGCCCAATCGTATCCCTCTTCCGTCACTGACAGTCCTTCGATTTCAGGGCGTAAAGAAGCCCCATAGGTTCAGGCCCGGAGCCGTTGCGCTGAGGGAAATCCGGAAATACCAGAAAAGTACCGAACTATTGATAGATCGACTACCTTTTTCAAAGATTGGTCCGCGAGATTGCAGGGGAATTCAGGGTGCTCTGTTTCCTAGAATTGAAGTAGTGAATCCACACTAACCTCAAGGTGGTAGACGGACATGCGATTTCAATCAACGGCTCTCGCAGCTCTACAAGAAGCAGCAGAAGAATATCTGATATCCCTGTTCGAGGATACGAATTTGGCTGCCATTCACGCAAAGAGGGTGACTATTCAACCGAAAGATATGATTTTGGCACGTCGTATCAGAGGGGAACGTCCATAATTGGCCGTTGACTACGTGTTATTTCACTAGCAGTGTAATGAATACATGCTCGCTGTGTCAGGAATTTCGGTTTCAGGGGCATATATATAACCAGACAATAGATTCTTAATATAAAATTAACTTGGCTC